GAGATGCTGGTGCTGGTGCCATGGGAACGAGAGGTGCCTGGTACTCCTCTTCCTCAGGAGCTCTGGCCAAGCGGCTCCTCCTGGCGTGTTGCAAAGCCTCGATGTTGCTGCGCAGGGCGGGCAGAGGCTTTGCAAGAACCTTCTTGTGCAGCCCCAGCAACTTGTCATTGAGGCTGCCCTCTCGCCCCGTCTTCCTGCTCTGGGAAGCAGCAGTGCTCGCACGGGTGTTAGGATCAGGAGCAGGCTGAGTGGCGGTGGCTTTGCTGCCGTTAGGTGCCCTGACAGTGTATCTTCTTGTCATTGCAGCCCTGCTGTATGCTGGGTCCTGGCATGCCACTGCCTGCTGGTAGGGTCCCCGGCTCTCAGCGCTGTTGTTGCGCAGGACCGCGCTCACATTTCTTGTGCCCTGCGCTGTGGCACAGGCTGTGGGCCTGTGTGGGGCAGGCTGCCAGCTCCGTGGCCTCGCAACAGTGCTGCCATGTGCGGGGATGTGGTGCTGCTGGGCAGCGGTTGTGCAAAGCTGCTTTTGGCTGTTGCTTGTCCTGCCGATGGCCATGTCAGTGAATCTGGCTGCAGGGGCAGAGGGTGCCCATGTCGGGCGAGGCAGCCTGCTGGCTTCTCTCACTGGCCGAGGTGGCGGCCGAGGTGTCCTTTCCACCACCACTGGCCGAGGAAGTGTCTGCTCCTCTGTCCTCATGCTGCGGGGCAGCACCGCTCTGCACCTCACGCTGCCCACCTGCAAGAGAAGTCGAGGAGAGAGGCTCTGTGATAGTCTCTTGTGCCACGTTCTGTACGTGGGACTGTAGTGGGGGAGGGGGTGTATTTGTGCCCTCCTGCCTACAGGTCCATGGTGACTGCCTGCAAAGTTTGTCAAGCCTTGCCATGAGCTGGACAGACGAATGGATAAACCTGATGCCTCAGCTACAGGAGCTGACCGTGAATACCCCAAGCAGACTGAGATAAACGGTTATCAGTTCTTCAGAAGCAGACAGGTCAAAGTTAAATGTAACATCATTACTCTCTCTCTCTCCCCCCCTCTCTTTTTTTTTTTTTTTTTTTTAGTCCCTGCAAAAGCCATCATTACTCCCACTACAGTCCCACGTACAGAACGTGGCACAAGGACCCTGTGGAGACTAACAGCAAACCAGCTCCGAGAAGCATCACTGCAGTGCGAGGTGGCAGGCTCAACCTTAGCGGGCATCCCTGCAGAGGCTCTGCCTCCCCCACATCGCATGAGGCTTGGGCTTTTATACTGACCAAAATGCACACTCATTCCGACACAGGTGGCCAGCCTGTGCTGGAAGAAGTGGCCAGCAGTATCTACAGAGGTCTCCAAGAGCTGATAGAAACCTGGACATACTTATATTTACCAACTTCTAGTACATGAGTATCACAGAGAAACTGTATGGGCTCTCCCTGTCAGCTGCAAGAAAAAATCATAACATATACAGCTTGAGTATAAGAGGATTTTAACGCATACGCGGTCACTCTTTATCAGGCCTCCTTAACTATTTTGAGATCAAGAGCTTCCCACCCTTTAGCCCCCTGCTGTGTAGTAAACACACGATATGCAAAGATGCCCATTGCAGAAAATTCCCCAGTAATGATCAAATATTTGGTTACCCATTGTTACAGCTGAGCGTCTCCAGGGCCAGTAAGTCTGAGCAGACCTACCCGGGAGACGAAGAGTCAGGGTCTGGAAGCAGAGGATATAAATCTGGCTCGGATTCAGGGGATTCGGGGGCTGATCCTGCGCCGAACTCGGGGTCTCCGTTGCTCGCAGCTGTGTCTTTCTTATCAGGTGTATCTCGTTCGGTATGTAGCCATCTGCAGACCTGGCTCCTCCGTGACTGAGTTACAAATTTTTTTTCACTCTAGGGCGTAGTGGGTTGGAGAGGCTCGCGGTTCCTTTAAATCTCCCGCTCGCGCATGATCCCTATTTTCTACTGCGTGCTTCACAGTGGCGCCGCAATCGATCCGGCGCCGAGGCACCGCCCTCTTTCTTTCGGATTTCTCGACATTTATCATGCGTATACCTTCTAATATACTTTCTCTGTCCTTTTCAAAGTCCCTACTTTCGGAACTGGGGTGGTGGGGGAGCAGGGGGTTACACCTCCTCCGCGGCACCTTCTGATGGAGGGGGAGAAAAGGAAGGCGGGGGTGCGGGGTGGGGGGGTTGGGAAACCCTGTGCTCCCGCGAGTTGGGGGGGGGGGGAACGAGTTGTAATCTTCCCCCGGTTTCAACCGACCGGGGACGTCTGTTCCTAGTTTCTCCGTTGCTACCGCGGCAGTTTTCTTTTCTGCCTTGTATCTTTTTATACAGTTCATTACTTCCCTCCGTGGTTTACCGAGTTTCTTTGCCTTTTTATAATCATTAAGCACTGAGTCAAATAGTTCATCACCAAACTTTCGCCACTCACTCTCCTCAAATATTGTATTAGGATCTGCAAAAAAAATCTCTTAGCCTTCCCTAGCCACTAGACCTGCTAGCTGCTTTAGAGTCTCAGGCTCAATTCCCCGCTTTTATAAAAAGCACTGTAATAAGTCCAGGGCTACCTCTCGGTCCATTTTCATGGCCAGCCTTTTCCGGATCGTCTTCTTCTGGGTCGTCCTGTAACCTCGGTCTCCGGATCGGCCTCCCGACGCAGCAGTGTCTGGTACGCCCCAGCGGCGGATTCTTTCGGTTAGTCCAAGCACCCGGGTCCGTCACGCCACCGCAGCAGCATTGCCCGCGCTTCCCGGCCGCTGCCGCCGGCGCCGCTCACTCGCCGTTCCGGGTCCCCGCTAGTCGGGGCCCTGTATCCCGGGTCCCCGCTAGTCGGGGCCCTGTATCCCGGGTCCCCGTTAAACCGGGGCCCTGTATTCCGGGTCCCCGTTAAACCGGGGCCCTGTATCCCGAGTCCCCGCTAGTCGGGGCCCTGTATCCCGGGTCCCCGTTAAACCGGGGCCCTGTATTCCGGGTCCCCGCTAGTCGGGGCCCTGTATCCCGGGTCCCCGTCGGCCGGGGCCCTGTATCCGGGGCCCTGTCGACCGGGGCCCTGTATCCCGGGGCCCTGTCGACCGGGGCCCTGTATCCCGGGGCCCTGCTAGCCGGGGCCGTGTATCCCGGGTCCCCGTCGGCCGGGGCCCTGTATTCCGGGTCCCCGCTAGTCGGAGCCCTGTAATCCGGGTCCCCAGCGACCAGGGCCCTGTAGTCCGCGTCCCTGTTCGGGCGCCATTTGTAAGCAGCGAGGAGAAGCAGACAGGCCAACCCAATATGGGTGATAAGCAACTTCTACTTTATTTGTGACGCAGCTCACACATATATAGGAGTGGTATTCAGCCACTCCTTCTTGGCATAACAGTATTGGTTAGCCCCCACAGCTTCCTCCACATTCTCCTCCCAGGTCCGGTCTCCGGCCACCTGTGGGGGCCACCCCCTGCCTTGCTTGCACAGTCCTCCAGAACTCTATGGTCCTGCTCTTAGAGTCATTCTGCAACATGTATCCACTAAAATTCCACTTTATTTCCTCTAGTCCCTAGTTTTCATGTAACCAGTGGATCTGCTAGGGTAGATTCCCCAGGTCCCTTGTCAGTCCAGTTGCAATTCAGCTACCGGAGCCACCCCATGACACTCCCCTGCCCAGGGCAGTCTTACTTCCAACGTCCAAAACACCCTACAGCACGCACACACACACATCCGGTCCCATAGGAGAAGAACCCACTCCCCCTCCGCCAGACATCCCTCCACCTCTGCCTCCCCAGCACTCATCCCACGCTCAAACACAGGAGCTGCCCGAGCTTCTCTCCTTTCCCCCTTGGTTTTCCTTAACTTTAAGCATTTTCACCAGTATCACAAAGACCAAAATCAGAACTGTAAGAAGCCACAACATAAGTCAAATACCAGTAAAATCCAAAACCTTTTGTACAAGACGGAACATTGGAACAGGCTGCCCAGGGAGGTTGTGGAGTCTCCATCTTTGGAGACATTCAAAACCCGCCTGGACACATTCCTGTGTAACATTATGTAGGTGTTCCTGCTCCGGAAGCGGGACTGGACGAGATGATCTTTTGAGGTCTCTTCCAATCTCTAGCATACTGTGTGTAAACTAGAACTAATTGCAACAGATAGGTAGCCGCTTAGATTGAAGTCAGTTGTTTTACGTTAATTAAATATAGAGGTCCGTGAATTACACAAACATGCTCTAACCAACATACAGGCAGAGACGAGCAGTGGGGGGGGAAACGAGTTATTATTTATTGGCCCAAGAAAGCAGCCACAACAAGTGCAGGCTGCAGCATGGCATCCTCAGCACAGCTCCCTTGGGCCTGGCGCTGGCAGCAGGGCGCTACTCCTCCACACGTGGGGTGAGGCATGAGCAAGTGAAAGCCTTGCGCAGAGCCCTCAGCACTCTCCTGAAGCGGGAGAGTCGTCGCCGTGGGGCCGCTCCTTGGTCTGGAAGAGTGGCAATGCCTGTGGAGGAAGAAGAGCTGTAGGCAAAGGACTTCCTTTGGCAACCCGTTCCAGTGCCTCACCACCCTTACAGTAAAGAACTTATCCTTAACAGCATCCTCATTGGCCTCCTTCAGATACTGGAAGGTCTGCTAGGAGGTCTCCACGCAGCCTTCGGCCCATGGAGGGGAGGCTGGGACACACCCGAACTCACGCAAACACTGCTGCCGGTCTGGCCTGGGTGCCACCCAACTCGGGCAAGTACCTGGCTGGTTCTCGCTGTCCTGAACTACAGCAGGCGACGTTGACGGTGACTCCACATCCAAGCTTTGTGCCACGTCTGGCTCTTTCACCTGCTGCTGCCTTGTTCCCTGGATGACAGTCACAGCCTTGCCCAGGTGTTTCCTCACAAAGCGTCTGAGCCTACCCTGCAGGGTAGCAAGAGCACAGGCAGGGGATGGGGGCAATGTCAGTGGGATGACACAGGCAGCACCAGAAATAGCCCTGTCACAAAACCTGGGAGCTGCCGTCCAAGGCCTTGGGATCCCCGGTGCCAACCACACGCGCCTCACTCACCTGGCGCCAAGAGTCCCGACACAAGGGAGAAGCTGCTGCATCTCCACTATCATCTGCTCCTGGAGGAATGTGGGATGTTCCAGGCTCTGTTGCAGGGATCTCAGTCAAGAAAGCAGCCACTTCATCCTCAGGCACTGTTGGGGAGGCAGCGGCTGCACTGGCCTCTCCCTGAGGCTCCGAAGCCACAGCAGACTCAACGTGCTCAGGTGCTGCAGGCGTCAGTGCTGCCATTGACACACCCAGAATTTGGGTCATGTCCTGATACTCCACCAGCTGTTGGCTGGTTCCCTCTCCTGTTGCGTCCATGCCCATGCTGGTGGGGCAGCTGGATCCCTCCTGGGGATCTGCATGGGTGTCCTGGAAGTGGTCTGGGACTGAGAGGTTGACCCAGAGGTTGCGTATGGTGACCTCTTCCACTTCGGAAAGCTCTTTGTCCATGGCCTCTTCCCATTCCTCTTCTTCCTTTCTGTCTAACTCCTCATCGTCAGCTTCCTCGCCCAAGGTCCCTGGCGCTTCCTGTAAACACACAACAGGGATGAGGAAAATCAGTTGAGGGAGCAGTGGCTGGCCACAGGCAGAGGAAGGCTCATCCCGCTGTCCTGTCCCATCCTGTCCTTGGCACTCACCTGCCTGTGACTGGGCATCCGTCCCCGCCGCAAGGCGAAACGAGGCCTCTGGCCCTCCTGCTGCTGGAGCTCCCTTTCCACAGAGCTGCCCAGCAGCCAAGGCAGGCTGGCTCTCCTTTGCATGTCGAGCCTGTGACTGGTGTGGGCCATGCTGCTCCTCTCCGGCTCCTCCAGAGGCTCTGGCATAGGGAGCAGCAGGAATCTCTCTGCCACAGGTAGCCCATGCGAGACTCCTGCTTGAATCTCCACAGTATCTCCGGTGCCAGCCATATGTGCCTCGCTCACCGGGTGCCCAGATTCACGATCAAAGGCAGAAGCTCCTGCTTCTCCTTCGTTGGCTGCTTCTGGGGCAGAGTGGCATGCTCCAGCCTCTGGCACAGGCATCTCAGGCCATGAAGCTGCCACTTCCTCTCTCTGTGTTTCTGGCAAGACAATGGCTGTTTCAGCCTCTCCTTGATGGTCTCCACACACAGGAGACTCAGTGTCCCCAGTCCACACAGATGCCATTAGTGCCATTGCCTCATCTGAGTTTTGGGACATGTCCCGATGTTCCGCCAGCTGCTGGCTGGCTCCCTGGACAACGGCCAGGCTCATGATCAGGACCTCTTCAGTGACGGTCCCTGCCATTTCTTCTACAACCACCTCACAGGCATCAGGGCTGAGCAGGGCAGGTACCTGCCTCTGTGCCTGTGGTGCTGCCTCCTGCTCGACGCAGGCAGGAGAAACTGGTGCCGGTTCCACCTCCTCCTGTGCCACTGGAGTGAGACGTGCGCGGTGCTCCTCTTCCTCCGCAGATGCAGCTAATGTAGAAGCTGTCGACTCAGTGGCTGTGGGTCCGGCTGGGATAGGAGACGTGTTCTGCAGGTCTCCACCTGCCTCCCCTGTCACTTCAATGTCCATGCTGCTGGGGAAGTCAGACCCCTCCTGGATATCGGCCTGGGGGTCCTGGAAGAGCTCTGGGACCGAGGGGTTGACCCAGAGGTTGCGTATGATGATCTCTTCCACTTGGGACAGCACTTTATCAATGTCCTCTACCCACTCTTTCTCCTCTTTGTCCACTGCCGCATCCAGCATTTGGGTCATGCCCTGAGGTTCCAGCAGCTGCTGGCTGGTTTCCTGATCCACTGCCACAGCCTGGACCAGAGGCTCCCTTGTGCTGAGCAGGGCTGCTCCCTGTGGAACCAACTCACAGGCATCTGGGCTGAGCAGGACAGATGCCTGACTCTCTGCCTCTGGTGCTGCCTCCGGTGCTGCCTCCTCATCACCATTGTGAGAAGAATCTGTTTCCTCTGCCTCCTCCTCGATCATATTCCAGAACTGGGAGCTTGCACCGACACTGGGTGTGACACGCACTTTTGCATCTCTTACTATGATGCTGTCGGAGGCAGGTGCATTGCACTGTGCTTCTGCTGCCAGAGCTTGACTGTCAAAGCCGCAAGAGGCTGCGGTCTCTGCCTCCTCCTCAACAGCATCTCTGAAATGGACCTTCCTGAGGATGCTCTTGGGTGTGACCTTCATATCCATGTTGCTTTCTTTGTGGCTGTGCGGGGCAGGTGCCCGGCCCTGTGCTCGTCCTGCTGCAGCCTGCCTGCCGATGGCGGGAGAGGCTGGTGCCTCTATCACCTCGACACCAGCTCTGAAAGGAAGCTTCTTGACGCACCTGGATGGGAAATTCAGATCTGCGTCATTTTCTGCTGAGCTGTTCATGGCAGGTGCCTGGCGCTGGGCTTGTGCTGCAGCAGCCTGCCTGCTAAAGCCACGAGATGCTGGTGCTGGTGCCATGGGAACGAGAGGTGCCTGGTACTCCTCTTCCTCAGGAGCTCTGGCCAAGCGGCTCCTCCTGGCGTGTTGCAAAGCCTCGATGTTGCTGCGCAGGGCGGGCAGAGGCTTTGCAAGAACCTTCTTGTGCAGCCCCAGCAACTTGTCATTGAGGCTGCCCTCTCGCCCCGTCTTCCTGCTCTGGGAAGCAGCAGTGCTCGCACGGGTGTTAGGATCAGGAGCAGGCTGAGTGGCGGTGGCTTTGCTGCCGTTAGGTGCCCTGACAGTGTATCTTCTTGTCATTGCAGCCCTGCTGTATGCTGGGTCCTGGCATGCCACTGCCTGCTGGTAGGGTCCCCGGCTCTCAGCGCTGTTGTTGCGCAGGACCGCGCTCACATTTCTTGTGCCCTGCGCTGTGGCACAGGCTGTGGGCCTGTGTGGGGCAGGCTGCCAGCTCCGTGGCCTCGCAACAGTGCTGCCATGTGCGGGGATGTGGTGCTGCTGGGCAGCGGTTGTGCAAAGCTGCTTTTGGCTGTTGCTTGTCCTGCCGATGGCCATGTCAGTGAATCTGGCTGCAGGGGCAGAGGGTGCCCATGTCGGGCGAGGCAGCCTGCTGGCTTCTCTCACTGGCCGAGGTGGCGGCCGAGGTGTCCTTTCCACCACCACTGGCCGAGGAAGTGTCTGCTCCTCTGTCCTCATGCTGCGGGGCAGCACCGCTCTGCACCTCACGCTGCCCACCTGCAAGAGAAGTCGAGGAGAGAGGCTCTGTGATAGTGTCTCTTGCGCCCGTATCCCAGCTGTTGGGAGCTCATGCAGTTGGGCTCCCCTGCCAGCCCCACGGCAAGGCTCAGGCCCACAGGTGGCTGCTGCCTGCTCCCAGAGCTGGCTGGGGAAAGGGCTGGCCACCCGCAGGCCATGGCCCCAGCCCACAGCAGCCCCGGCATGCCCGTGGTTGGGAAGGTGTTTGGCCCTGTCTCCCTCGGGGTCCCTACCTGTTCCTGCTGGGTCTCGATGGGCTGATACCTTCGTTGGTAGGGCAGCTGTGGTACCGTGATCCCACGCCGCCCTTCCTCAGGCTGTGGCCTGTGGCCCACCTGCGGGCAGGAGGAGGAGGAAGAGGTGTGTGATGGAGGCGGCTGCCTTGGCACAGCAGCCCCCGCAGTGCCGGCAAGCCCGGCCCCGGCCCCGAGGCAGCTCCATGTGGCCCCGTCCCACCACCGGCCTCTCACTCCTGCCCCAGCCCTCACCTGACGCCTCCTTTGCACTCCTGGCCTGCCCTCGGCAGGCTGGGAGCGGGCGTTCGATCCCTTGTCCACTGGCATCTTCTGTGTCCTCGGATGCAGACTTGCTGTGGATTCACAGGGCAACTGCCACCTCTAGGGTGCGCCAGGGCCTTAAATACCCCACATAAGAGTCGTAACAATGCCCCCGTGGTTTCCACGGAGACGCCGATGCCCTCACCAGTTCCAAAGGGTCCCAGCTCCTCATGGGCAACTCCACAGCAACCACTGAAGCTTTGTGACAGCGGCAGCATCGTGCCCATGGCCACTGGGCAGTCAGGGATGCACTTTTCTCCTCCCTGTTTTTTTCCTTGACAAGAAGAAAAGGGAACGGAGAAAAGAAAGACCGGTAAAAGAAGGAAAAAAACAACAAAAATAATGAAATCATTCTTGTGAGACCTCACCTGGAGTACTGTGTGCAGTTCTGATTTACTCAACATAAAAAGAACATGAAACCAACACCCCCAAGTCCTTCTCCGCAGGGCTGCTCTGAATCTCTTCTCTGCCCAACCTGTAGCTGTGCCTGGGATTGGTCTGACCCAGCTGTAGGACCTTGCACTTGGCATGCTTAAACTTCATGAGGTTGGCATCAGCCCACCTCACAAGCATGTCGAGGTCCCTCTGCATGGCATTCCTTCCCTCCAGCCTATCAACCGAACCACAGACCTTGGTGTCATCGGCAAACTTGAAGTTTCCTCAGCAGCTCCTGATCCATCCAAGGAGGTCTCCTGGCCCTCCTGCTGCACTTCCTTCTAGCTGGGACGCAACACTCCTGAGCTTGTAGGAGGTGATCCTTGAATATCAACCAAGAGTCTTGAGTCCCCCTGCCCTCTAGGGCTATGTCCCATGGAACCTCACTAAGCAGGCTCCTGAAGAGGGCAAAGTCTGCTCTCTTGAAGTCCAGGGCAGTGAGCTTGCTGCACGCTCTTCTCACTGGCCTGAGGATCTCGAACTCGACCATCTCATGATTGCTATGAGCAAGGCTGCCCTGGAGCGTCACATTTCCTACCAGCCCTTCCCTGTTGGTGAGCACGAGGTCAAGCACGGCACCTCTCCTTGTCAGCTCCTCTATTACTTGCAGAAGGAAGTTGTTTTCCACACAATCGAGGAAGCTCCTGGACTGCTTGTGCCGGGCCGTACCGTCCCTCCAACAGGTATCAGGGTGGTTGAAGTCCCCCGTGAGGACAAGGGCCTGAGAGCTTGAGGCTGTTCCTATCTGTCTACAGAGCACTTCATCTGCAGAGTCCTCTAGATCAGGCGCTCTGTGACAGATCCCCACACTAATGTCTCCCATAGCTATATTCCCTTTAAGCCTGACCCACAAAGTCTCTGTTGACTGCTCACCTTCCCCAGACAGAGTTCCATACTCTCCAGCCTATCCCTAACACAAATAGCAGCTCCTCATCCCCATCTGCCAGGCCTGTCTTTTCTGAAGAGTCTCTAACCTTCCATTCCAACACTCCAGGCATAGGAGCCATCCCACCAGGTTTCTGCGATGCCTATTACATCATATCCCCGTAGACGTGCACACATCCCTAATTCCTCGTTTGTTCCCCGTACTATGGGTGTTTGTACAGAGGCATCCGAGCAGAGCTCCAAATGAAGCCGGCTCCTCGGCTGGAGTGGCTGCATTATCCCTACATTGATCCGAGCATTTATTATCGGTGCTGGCAACTGACCGGGAATGCTGGGATGGAAAAATATGTCTGCCTTCACACACTGCATGTTCCCCTGGTCTTCCTATTTCATTCTGCTTTATCTACCAAAACTATATTAACCCCAAAGCCTATCTTCTTGTGTATCATCTTCTTGTCATTGCACCCATGTGGGTTAACCATTTCCACTGCAGCCCCATCAATACCCCTACTTTGCCATGCCTGCACAGGCCAGGAACCCACCCCTTCCTCCACCCAGCTTCAGGAGAGCAATGCCAAAGTTCCACTCGCTATAATCCCAGCATTGCAACACAAAACCTTGTTGCTGGGACATGACTTCCCACTGGAAGGCACCAAATTCTCCTCCTACGCACCAAATAAATATCCAGCGTGGCAGATTCACCAGGATTACTATGTGGGTCACCAATACAAGAGGAGAGATCATCTCACCATCAAGGGTTTTAATGGAACTAAGTGCAAAGGTTTCTTCTTTCTCAAAGTCATCTCCCACTTCTTCCCATGCTGCTGCAAAGTTTGGCTTTAAAACCACCTGAATATGATCAGACATGGTCACCTCCAGGTATTCCAACTGACAGAAAAGCAAAGGACATTTCAGACTTACAGAATATAAGGAGTTAGAGAAATGATCCTCATCTTAGAAAGGGAAAGACAAAGAGAGGCCGCAGCATTTTGCCAAGAGAACCCTGGCATGCGTGGCTTTAATTGCAGAAGCACATAATAACAGCATATAAAAGCAGAGAGGAAAAATAGTATTTATGGTGGTTATCTGTAAAGCTTAAACACGTTTCCTCAAACATGCGTGAGGCTCAAAGAGAGCAGAAAATGGGGCAATCACTTTGGGAGTCAAAGCCCATTGTAGCTTCTACTGAGCAGCTGAGGAGAGACACTCTCAGAATCCTGAAGGAGCCTTTGCTGCATCCAAGCCCCTAAACCAGGCACTTTCCTGAGATCTGACTTGTATTTCCATGAGTGATAACATGAACACAATAAACAGAAGTACAAATGCCTGGGAGAGATTGGGCTGGAGGTCTGAAAACAGACAAAGGAAGTTCTTCCTTCCTTCCTTTCCAAACCCACAATTCCTTCCGGTGCCTAAAGGGGTGTCCTGGGTTCAGCAGTAGCAGTCATGTTTCTCCTTCTTGGTAGCTGGTGCAGTGCTGTGTTTTGACTTCCAGCCTGGGAACAGTGCCTGCGATACCGATGTTTTCGGTTGTTGCTAAGTGATGTTTACCCTGACCAAGGACTTTGTGAGGCTCATGCTCTGCCAGGGAGGAGGGGAAGCTGTGAGGAAGCAGAGACGGGGCGCCTGACCCAGGCTAGCCAAGGAGGTATTCCATACCACAGCAGGTCATGCCCGGGGTGGGGGGTAACTGGGAGTTACCCGGAAGGACACGGGCTTCCGGGTGGCATTCGTTTCTTGGCCGGTGGTAATGTATTCTCTTTCCTTGTTATTTTCTCTTATCATTGTTGTCATTGGTAGTAGCAGTCGTGATCTGTGTTGTACATTGGTTGCTGGACTGTTCTTGTCTCAACCCGTAGGAGTTGCACTCTTTCGATCCTCCTGCCCGTTCCTCCAGGAGTGGGAAAGGGGAGAGGCCCGGGGTGGGTGGGGGGGGGGGCCTTTATTGCTTTCAGCCTGGCACCACTCACTGGAAGTGTGTGAACAAGCTGCCTGGCTAGGGTTTAAACCACGACAAGGGATGCAGAGAATCAAATCCTCGTTTATTACCACCAAGCCCTTTCTGTGCACCTGTTTGGTACTTTCCCAACCTGCACATACGACAACGTTCAATCTCATTGGCCCCTGTAAAACTCTCCAGGTAAATAGTCCAATCACGATGCTGCAGACCCTCTCACAACCCCCACAGCCTGTGGCCTCCACCTGAGATTCCCCCCACAACTACATCCTGGCCCATCCTCCCAAGGCCTGCTTCCTTTCCCTTCCTTGGCCTTCAAGGTTCCAGCTCATCGACCCAGGGCTTGTCAAGCACCAAGGCCTCAGAGCTCATTCCCAAACACTTTTTCATGCAAATCTTATCGCCTTCACTCCCCACAGATCCTTGCTCCCCAGACCTTTCAGCTGCTTCTGTTGGGATCTGGGATCATCCCCGCAGCCCAAAAGAGCGTTGGGGTGTGATGTAGGAGCAGGGGTTCCTGCCTGGGTGATGCAAGGCAGGTGCCCAAGTTTGGAGTCAGGAGGATCTGAGCATGGTGTGAGAAGGACAATGCTGGAGATGTACAACATGGGGTTTAGTTTGCTTCTTTGGAGCTCAGCGGCTTCAATTTATAGGCTTTTGTTAACAACTGGAGCTAAACTTGATTCTCTCGAATCTGGTGTTTAAATTGTGAATCTGATGACCTTTCAGATTCCTCCACATGCAGTGGTTCAGTGCTGACTCCTCTTCTGTGAGGTACTGAAATGGTTTCAGAGCACCACAAGACCCATAAGACCCTGTGTGGGCTTTCAGCAGACTGATTTTGCCCTGACATTGTGTAGGATCCACTTTCTGTCCCCCTGCCCAAGTGAAGCAGGATGGAGTTTAAGGGGACCTGAGGACAACCAACATTTTGGTGCGGGTTGTGAGTTACTGTACTGCCTGGCACAAAGGTGAAGATATTTCATCTCCTTTTCCAACCCAGAGGCATTGCACTGGGAGCAGAGGACCCAAATTTGCTTCCATCTGAGATGGAAAGCATTCAAACCGTATCTTCCCATCTCCTGAAACTCAAGCTGTTTCTCCCTTCCTACATGAACTTGTGCTGTTCTCCAGCAGGCCTCTGAATTGACTGCACTCAAAGAAACCACCTTAAGCAAGTCACTAAGATGGGGATGACCAGCAGAGTGATCCTGTGCTGCTGCTGCTGCCCCAAGGAGGTTGCCTGGGAAGATGCAGATGCCACCTCAGTCTCATGGCACAGGCACACACTGCCCTGGGAGCAGCAGTGCAGCTCCTCAGGGCACCTTCTGCTGAGTAACAACAGGTTTCTCTTCAGTATTTTGCAGTACATAAACCAGAGAAAGAAGCAAAGAGAACGCTGGGTTGGGGCTTTGATGTCCACCTCTGTCCCATGTGAGTAGGAACCTGGTTTGGTTTACTTCGTGGGATGCGTGCAACAGTCTTCTTGGCTTAGTTTAGGGATGTCCTTGCGTATAAAAGCTCTCTCTGCTTCTCTCTCGCAGTGCATCTCATCTATGGGCCCTTGGTCCCTGTGAATCCACACCCAGAGTTCCTTCAGCTTTACAAGTAAGATAACGCCCACCACAAAGTGCGAATGCACAACTGGGGTTCATTTTGAGGGAGGACTTTGTCTTGGGGCTTTCAATTCCCTTTTCAGGGAGGCTGGTTTTTAGGCATCAAAGTCAGAATTCTCAGTCAAAACAATGAGGTATTTGAAACCCTCAGCAGACAGAGGTAAAATGTATTGACTTGAGGTAGTCTTCTCCTTCAGACTACCCTGAAGTAAATCCAACACTTGGAAGAGTGGTCATATGTAGCTGATACAGGCTTTGTCCCCAAACCATGTTACAGGCAGAATACGAGTGGGTAATGTCCTGCTTCAGTGGTGGCACCTTGCTGTATTCTCCCACCAGGAAGGTGCCTCCCATGTCCACAGTGTCTGTGCTGGACGACCACATCAGCCACTATCCACAGCTGGAGGATCCAACAGGCTTCCTGAATGCTTATCTCGACTTGATCAACTCCTTCTGAGCTGCTGCACCTCAGTTCTTGCACCTCATGGCAGGCTTTGGGGACAGGAAGAAACGTTGATTTTTTTACCTCCAGATCCAGCACTTTGCATTAACAACCTCATCTTTGGCTACCAAACTGCTGCATTGATGCAGGTAAATCCTTGAAGCACCAGAAAAGATGAGGCTGGGATAACAGATGAGCTCAAAGGACAACAGGAACACATGTCTGTTGCAAGAGTCCTTATTTGCCGTCACTGTAAAGCCATGCTACATGTCACTGGTAGCCAGGACCACTTGCAGTCAAGATCTGATGCTTACACTCCCACCATGGATGCAGTTGAAATGATATCCCTCTGCTAAGAGTTGTAATACTTGACCACCTTGTCAGGCCTGAAGAATTTGAAGTAGAGTTTGCCTACACTAACTACAGCAGGAGAGCTGGACCTGTAATCCCCCAAGTACTGGCAATGACGCCCTGCACACATAAAGGAGCATTTAAAGACTGTAATTACCTTCAGTAACCTCTTTTTAATGGCCAATGACCCAAAGGCAAGCTCTAAACCTCAACGGTTTTACTACTTCCCTTGTTTCTCTGCTCTTCAGTTGAACAAGCAGAGCTGCTCAGTGATGCTGCACCCCTGGGACTACCCAGGATCTTTGCTGAAGCCTGGTTGTAGCTCCACCAGGGCAGGCTCATGCCTCTTTCACTAGGGCAAGCTGAAGAAGCAGTGTTCTGGGGCCTAGCAAAAGCCAGTGCTCTTGTGAGCAATAGCTACTGAAGCCATAGGGATGTAGGACAGGTAATTAAAGTGGTATTGGAACGCTATTCCTTCTTTCCTTCCTCACCCTGGCTTGATAACTAAAGAAACAGCAGACCAGCAGAGAGATACAGAACTTCCCTCATAAGGAAGTTACCATAAGGTCCCTCCTTCCCTGTCTCTTCCCAGCTTTTGATATGGGATGTTTCACACACCAGTGTTTGGGATTATTAATGTAAGGCTCGCCACTGACTATGCTTTTGGAGGTGAAGGTTAATCTCTCTCTGTACACTGATTTTTCCGTGTGGAACAGAGGAGATGAGCATCAGGATACCATAAACTTGGAGGCTGGGTGGGTTTTAACTGCTTATGTTTGAACTTTCTTAGTGTCCCTTTAGGAATAAGGGGCTTTTTCTGAGTAAGCAGCCATCATGGGCTACTTTTTTCTGTACTGAAACAGCCAGAACTAGAACAAGAAATGTCTATTTTATTACCAGTACTTCAGATGAATTCCACCACTTGGACCAGGGTTTATTTTCTGTTAATAAAAAGCAATTTTGACAAAAGTCTGATGCCATTTTTCTTCCCACCTGCCTCTTTCCCCTTCCCTGCTCTACTGCAAGTGGCCAGAGGTGCAATAAATTAGATGGGAATGGGTAAGTGACAACAAGGGAAGGGACATGGGAAAGGCTCAGTTCCAGCCACCTATTGCCACTACTGTAACGTACAAAATATACCAAATGGAGGAGTAAAAACTACATGCAGAAGGGCAGGCAGGCTGCTTGACGGCTGGTAAATACCCAACCAGTGTTTGCTAAGGGGGTTTCCACCACAGTTGTGCTGGAACACTCAGCCTACAGAAGCCAGGATGACATCTACAGGCGGTTCTTCTTTGCTCCTAACAGTCACCTGCATGGTGACTCCGTCTCCGAGCGCGAGCCTGGACCTCACCAGCACATCACAGCCACCTCTGTAGACACCTGAGGGGACAAAGCAATGTTTGAGATTGGCTTTAGGAGATGACTTGAAGAGATTTTCTTGTAGACACCACTTCAGGAGAGGCTCAGTGATCTAGTCCTAACCCAGGAGCCATCAACAGACATGCTGAGTCTATGCCAGTTGCAGAGAAGGGGGAAGTGACTAACAAATACCCAAACCCCCAATTTCTCCTAAGCTCTTGAGGCCAAGACCAAAGATAACAGATAATGCTGTAATGAAAGAGAGTCAGCAACTGCTGCTGGAGGGCTTGGGTGACTTAAACAGGTAAAAAGCAGAAAAGTGGGTAGCTGAAGCTCACTTCTGGTTTGAGAAGGCCACACACACTGCAAGGCTAGTACACTGGCTCAGTGCCCTTGCCCTTAAGGGAGAAATAGTCCTGAGGATAGAGCCAGGAGGGGGCTCTGTTCCCTCTGCTCCCAAGGAACAAGGGATGGGACAGGAGAAAACAGCCTCAAGCTGCACCAGGGCAGGTTTAGATGGAGCTGAGGAACAATTCCTTCCCCAAAGGGTGCTCAGGCATTGGAACAGGCTGCCCAGGGCAGTGGTGGAGCCACCGTCCCTGGAGGGATATGGAAGATGTGTACACGTGGTGCTTAGGGACATGGGTTAGTGTTGGCCTTGGCAGTGCTGGGTTACCAGTTGGACTCGATGACCTTAAGGGTCTTTTCTAACCTAAATGACTCTAGGATTCCGTAAGAAGCTGTGGCTACTGCAGGTCAATTCAGGATGTGTCTGTAAGATGGTCCTAAGAACCTCCTTCCAAGATAAGCACAGGCAAGGAACTTAGTCAGGTGCCTGCTCTGAAAGTTCTTCATTCAAAGGATTCACTACCATTCCCATAGGCAGAATACATCCATTCTGATCAACACAGAGAAAAACCTCTCAAAGTAAGAGCAGAATCTCCCAACCCGTTCCCCTCCCTTTAGTAAAGCCCTGTGGGGACAACAGGGCCATGGAGTCCTGCAGTCTGAGTACTTACCAGCTAAGTAGAGTGTGTGAGAATTCTTGTTCTCTGGCACTTTATCTGACCTCTCACAGGCCTGCATGCCCAAGAACTTGATGATGTTATTGACAGCTTCTGCATGCAGAGATCGAGGAAGAGAATTACCTCCGGTTAGTGCCAAGCTCTTCTTCTCCTCTAAGCACCCATGTGGGTTAACCATTTCCATTCAGCAGCTTGACTGCAACCCCATCAATACCCCTACTTTGCCATGTGCAAAAGTCCAGCCCAGGAACCCACCCCTTCCTCCACCCAGCTTCAGGAGAGCAATGCCAAAGTTCCACTCGCTATAATCCCAGCATTGCAACACAAAACCTTGTTGCTGGGACATGACTTCCCACTGGAAGGCACCAAATTCTCCTCCTACGCACCAAATATATCCCCAGCATGCCAGATTTACCAGGATTACTATGTGGGTCACCAATACACGAGGAGAGATCATCTCACCATCAAGGGTTTTAATGGAATTAAGTGCAAAGGTTTCTTCTTTCTCAAAGTCATCTCCCACTTCTTCCCATGCTGCTGCAAAGTTTGGCTTTAAAACCTTCTGAATATGATCAGACATGGTCACCTCCAGGTCTTCCAACTGACAGAAAAGCAAAGGAGAGTTTAGGCTTACAAAATATAAGAAGTTAGAGAAATGATCATCTTAGAAAGGGAAAGACAAAGAGAGGCAGCAGCATTTTGCCAAGAGAACCCTGGCATGCGTGGCTTTAATTGCAGAAGCACATAATAACAGCATATAAAAGCAGAGAGGAAAAATAGTATTTATGGTGGTTATCTGTAAAGCTTAAACACGTTTCCTCAAACATGCGTGAGGCTCAAAGAGAGCAGAAAATGGGGCAATCACTTTGGGAGTCAAAGCCCATTGTAGCTTCTACTGAGCAGCTGAGGAGAGACACTCTCAGAATCCTGAAGGAGCCTTTGCTGCCTCCAAGCCCCCAAACCAGGCACTTTCCTGAGATCTGACTTGTATTTCCATGAGTGATAACATGAACACAATAAACAGAAGTACAAATGCCTGGGAGAGATTGGGCTGGAATTCTGAAAACAGACAGAGGAAGTTATTCCTTCCTTCCTTTCCGAACTCACAAATCCTTTCTCCATAGGGCACAACAGGAGGAAAGTTTTGGGGAAGGACCTAAAGTTATGAGCTACAGTATTGTGGTGTTTTGGGCAGGTTTGCTGCTCTCTCTTTACGGATTTAGATCTGAAAGGAAACTGTCAGCCCCATGGCCACCTGTATGAAACTAAAACAAGTTCTGAACTTACCACATATTCATCATCATAGCCATCTTCTTCTGGGACACCCGTGTTTGGGTCACAGTCTCGAACAGTGAACTTCATTGTGCAACTGAAAGTACAAGCAACTGGGGAGGAGAGAAAAGCCTGTAGGTTAGGGGTACTGCAGTTCCTTCTCTTCAAGCAAAAAAGAGACCTGAAAGAATCTACCTCAGCTTTGCCCCAGAAGATAGAGACACGGATGTGGTCAGAGCACTCTTCAGCTGCATATGTATTTCCACCAGGCTCCCCAGGCTTAAGATGAAGACCAAAGGAGGATCACAGAAGAGGTGTATGCCAGGGCCATAATGTAACAAGCTCAGGCCTCCCAGAGTGCAGGCTCTGAGAGGAGAAACTCTGCAAAGGGTTTCTGAGAAACGGATCATGAGCCAACCCCCCAGGTCAGAGAATTCACACTAATTCTAATCTTCCGTGGTATTAAAGGGATAACAAAGAAACCCCCTCGCTGATGAGCATGTTAAATCAACTGAAAATGGGCTGACAGGCTGAGAGTACACTGCAGCTGTTGAGCCAGGAGAAGATAAGCTGCATGGAGACCCCAGAGCAGCTTCCAGTGCTTAAGGGGGCTACAAGAAATGTGGAGAGGGGCTTTGGACAAGGGCCTGTAGGGACAGGCCAAGGGGAATGGCTTTAACCTGCCCGAGGGGAGACTGAGATGAGCTCTTAGGCAGAAGCTCTTCCCTTTGAGGGTGCTGAGGTGCTGGCACAGGGTGCCCAGAGAAGCTGTGGCTGCCCCATCCCTGGCAGTGTTCAAGGCCAGGTTGGACACAGGGGCTTGGAGCAAGCTGCTCTAGTGGAAGGTGTCCCTGCTCGTGGCAGGGGTTGGAACTGGAGGAGCTTTAAGGTCCCTTCCAATACAAACCAGTCTGGGATTCTACATCCAATGAAGTTTCTTGTAAGTGTGAATAACAGTAATAAAAAGAAGTTTTATGCAGGCCCAGACTACTGATATTTTATTTTCCTTTCAATGATTCTG